GCCGCGTACAGAATAGAGCGCGATTCTGTAACTCGTTATGTGCTTTGCGCAGATATAATACGCCGTAGAGAAGCTGATATATATTATAGTTCGGTCATTGGATATAAGATATAACGGCGCGGAATTTTATTTCCAGTGTTTGCTCCAGCGGAAAAATGAGGTTTCGGAGTTGGTTCCGCGTTGCGGAATTGCGTCCAATTGATGGACGGAGATTCGATCTGACCCGATAATACTCGGCTCCCCTTAATGGGCGCGTCCCAATTAAACGGACGAAACAATGATATCGCGCATCACTCACGCGATAACGATGGAGAGAGATCCAAGGATCTCTCTCTCTCTCTCTTTCTCTCTCTCTCTCCTCATCCTCCGTTTCTCGATAATTTACGACGCATGGAAAACACGCGAGACAACACGTTGTTCGCTCGACGCTTCTCTATCCTTTATTTGCTGTATTCCGAACTCATTAATTAATCTCGATGCCGCCGCAATTAAAATCCGGAAAACATTTTGCGCGCAAACATCTAACATTATGACGACGCACCGGGATACGATTTTGCTTGCGCTGCTGAGCCATTTTTGTGCGTGAGTTGTTGGACATTTGCGCGCGAAATTGTACGTTAATACACGAGCCAACCACTTGCGTACAAAAGCACGGACTGAACATATCTTACGAGCAAAACTCAGGCAAATCTCGTACAAGTTAGCATGCGCATAACGCCCGGTTTCACCAAACGTCGTTTAACTTTAATCTTACAATTTTATTTCCAGTGTTTGCTCCAGCGGAAAAATGAGGTTTCGGAGTTGGTTCCGCGTTGCGGAATTGCGTCCAATTGATGGACGGAGATTCGATCTGACCCGATAATACTCGGCTCCCCTTAATGGGCGCGTACCAATTAAACGGACGAAACAATGATACAAGTTAGTTGATAGTTTAATAGCGAATTGCTTGCACTAGCGCGCACTGAGTGCACACCAAGGCTCGTTTACGGTCAATTCTTTTATCAAAGGCTCGCCTTAGATAGCTCTTGAAATATTTCTTAGTCAGTAAAATGATCTGTAAAGCATCCGTGCGGATCATCTTTTTAGTTAATACTTTGTCAACGCATGTATTTAGGATTAACGAAGTTAAATATAAGAATTGACTGTAAACAAGCCTTAGTGTGCACTCAGTGCGCGCTGGTGCGACCAACCGAATTCGCTATAATTCACGTAGGTCTCTTTCCGAAGTAACAGAAAGAGGCAAAGAATGAATTAAGCCAAGCTTAAAGTTAAGCGGCGCTGGTGAAACCAGGCCTGAGACAAGCAAAATTTGCGCGCGAGAATTGTTATCGGGGAAGCTCATTGACTTTGACAGAAACCACGTTGCCTCGCGTCTTCGGAAACGTTTCCGGACACGCGGCTCTTTCGGCTCTCGCGTGAATGGTCATCGCTTTATTAAATCCCGTCGAATCCCGCCGTCGAGCCGCAGCGAGTGTCCCGTTACGAGCTTTCGAGCCGTTCGGGCCGAGTGGCCAATTAAAAAGGCCTATTCCCTAATTAGTCGGACAGCCGCGACTTAATTTGATTTGGCTCGGGGAGCCGGGGGCTTTTTCGAGCGTGTCTAACAAGAGCGTTTCCTCCGCCCGCGATCGCTCGCTTTCCGGAAACGCGCCGTCGTTTTCAGCGAAAGCGTCTCCCCCCCCTCCCCCTTTCCGCCATCCCGCTCGTTTTATTGCGCCGCGAATCGTGTTCGACAACGCGTTAAGTTTCGTCGTTCGCCATTTCATGGCCGTCAACGGCCTTCACGGCTCTCGAACGTGTCCAAATTATTCAGAATTATGAAAGCTATTATGAAATATCTCGCAAACTATCATTCTTGTTACGCTGCGAGAATGTCCGATTGCAATTTGTTCGCGACTATACGATTGAGTTGACTGTTTCAACCATCGGATAACTTTTATCCTTTAGGAATTGTTCCACTTAGGCCCGGTTTTTTAATTTTCTGGCTAACAGTTGACCAGAAAACGAAAAACTGCGCCTTAGAAAGACACAAAGGATGCTAATCAAAGGGTACAGCAGCTACCCGACGGTTGGAACAATGAACCATAAAGCGTCGTCTACAATAACCGGCGTAAGCGTAGAGTAAGAAGAGTAGGAGTACGTTTTTGGCGTAAGCCGTTTACGCCGACTCAATCTACAATACGGTGAAGTAGGTGTTGTAGGCATGCGTGAAAAGGCGTAAGAGTAAGAGTAGGCGTAAGAAATAAAAATAATTCATTTCGCTTACGCCCTTACTCCAGCTCTATTAAACCGGAAGTAGCTCTCTACGCCTGCTCTTACTTCTTACTCCACGCTTACGCCGGTTATTGTAGACGACGCTTTAGACTTTTGTACGCGGCCTGAAAGTAGTAAATTCCTAAAAATGTGCAACTATCGGAAGGCAACACCTCAACTTATGCTCATTTCCTACCAGTGTAGATTAACTTCGATCACGGTTTAATTTACTTTTCATCTTCTTCCAATGAGTTAAACCGAGATTAAAGCTTCCACATTGGTAGAAACGGACGTTAAAGTTTTCGCTCGCTGTGGATCTTGCTCGACGGCTCGAATCCGCGACCGAGATCAAGGGAGGATTTTCGAGAGAAGGCGAGAGCGCGAGAGAACAGAACAGAGTAGAATCTGTATTTATTAAACGCTCTGGGAGCGTTCGGGCGATTCTATTCTCTCTCGCTCTCTCCTTCTCGAGAAGAGGGAGAGAGATCGGCTCGATAACTGAATTCCTCCGAGATCGTCGATCTGTTTACGATCCATGGAACAACTCCGTAATAATAACCGCGCGTATCCGTCGTGGGGTGCGCGCGATTCTCGAAAGCGGCGTCGCCGAAACTCGAGCGTCTCGTCGACGATCCCGGGCGACGCTCGCGCGGCTACTCGGAAGTCTTATCGTGCGATTCGATCGACGGGCGTCGTCGGGGAAATCGCGCCCGCAATTTAAGCGAAAGGCGGACAATACCGTCGGTTCAGCATCGCGAGAGTCTCGCAATGCGCGCCCGCGAATTCCCGCTGAGCGGCCATAATACAACGTATTGTACGCGCGCGTGCACAGTTTCGCAAACTGAAATTGAACGGCGGGGGCGGCGGGACGCGCGCTGCTCGCTTTGCGCCTCGAGCGGCGACAAAGAGCGTCCTATGCTCGGCGCGGCTCGAGGGCCTCTCCTTGGAATTTGCTTATCTCGACGGGGCCGACGCCGCGACGTTTTGTGCGCGACGTTTGGCGAATACGGAACGAATCTCGCGCCTCGCCGCGCGTATTGTTCAAGCGATCGCGACGACGAGCCAACGAGGCCGAAATCTAACGACGTTAGCTTTCGGGGAAAATTAGCCCTCGTCGTTAGCGGCCCTCCCGCCGATCTCCGCCGCGCGATAAATCTTTATCCCACGACACCGCGTGTCGTCCCTCTTGTGCCGAAACCATGAGCGTGCAAATTGTCGCACCAGAACCGCGAACGCGTTCTTGTGATTAAAGGAAGGATAGGAGGGACAATGAGAAAGTATCTTATGGTTAAATTTAATTCGACTTCAACGTAGGGTTGCGTTTCAAGACTAAAAATTTCATTCGACGCGCTGCAGTTGGCTAGGTTGAAAAAATATACAGGGTGTATTCTAATTCGCGTCCACGATTTATACGGTGATATTTCTCATGAAACACCGAGTCGAAAAGTCTTACTTTTTGAGTTAAATTTAAATCTGAGGTAAAAACTGTGACGTATCTGCGATAGAATTTCAAAGGCTTCGAATTATCCGTTTGTTTCTACGTTCAATTGGGGAACTTCCGAAATTTGTCGAATTGCACATTCATGGTACGAGGGGGACGACGCGCCACGACAGTGTACGCCGAGGGTCTCCGATCGAATGTGCGCGCGGGGCGCCACACCCTGCGCGAGTCCTTCGATTTTCCCGCTGCGCCCGAAATCCCGGAAAGGGATTGCGATGTCTTCCCTTTCCTTTCTGTCCCGGGAGGGATTCGCACTCCTATCTCGCGTTCAAGATCGAGCACAGTCTTCGGCCTTGATGAGGTTCCGTCCAGCCAGTGGAACCCGTGCAGCATCTGGGAACGATTTTAAAAGTGAGATCGGCTTAAAATCCCGCGCCCTTAATCAATCCGGGCAAGAATAAAACAGTATAATTATTGTTAGAAAAAAAGAGCCGGCGGGAGGGAAAGAGAAAAATTTTGATTTCGATTCGTATACCAATACAGCACAGAAAGTTGAAATAATGTTGCTGAAACGTTGCAATGTTGAATGTTGCAGTATAAATATTTTTTCTACGTTGAACCTAGGTTAATGCTTGTACATTGATTCTTTATATTGCTGCAACGTTAAAAGAATCTTGAACAAATCATTATTTTTGGCACTCAAATAGATACTTAAAAAAACGTATAATTATGAAATGTACACATGTATAATATTTTTGCAACGATCAGAAATTTTCCGAGCTAAGATTGGATTGTAGTGAAACAATTCAATTTCAGCACTTCAAACAGTTGTAAAAAACATTCTGCTAAACGCGGCCAATGTTAACTCAATATAATCTAACAATGCTTCCTGAATGTTGAATTGTAACGTTTACAAGACATTACACGTTTTTGCAATATCTTTTCAACGTTGAATCTACGTTTCGTAACATTGATGCAATATTGCAATGTTGTAATGGAACGTTTCTGAGATGTTGATTCAACGTTTGTGTGCTGTATGGGATAAACTAATCGTTACCCAGCAAACGCCAAAGTAACAGTTACATAACATCAATATAAATGTAATATAACACTCTGGGTATGGTGTTTGCTGGGTAGCCAAGTTGGATTTCCGCGGAAAATTATGACAATGCTAGTTTCAGGCCACCAGATTTCTTCTCGCCAAAGAACGTGAGATTATTTTAATATCATTGTTACCGGCGTTGCATTACTGAAACAACGTTCGTCGAACTGTCTCCTCAAGTCGCGATATTACACATCATTATTCTATTTATTAAAATCGCGCCTCCTAGGTGAATACACAAGGAGATACGGGAGAAATTGCGAGAGATATAAAAGAAAAGATCGGAGATTGTTTCAACAAGTACAAAAAGTTTGCGAAGTGCAGTAATCAAAGCCAAGAGCGCGCGTATCGACGAATGTTACTTAAATGAGGATTATCAGTCCCTCAATTGAACACTGTATTACATCGCAGCCTAGACCGTAAGCTTATCATGTAAAATTGTTTCCGTCAATAAATATTACTTTTCCCGGATATGCAACCCTCTATTTTCTAAACTCCTCAAGTCGTTCGAGTAATTACGAGCGGTAATAATATCCGCCGTTGCAGGAAGGACCCGTATCCGGGTGGAAAGCGAGAGGATCATCGCGCCGCTCGGTACATATTTTGCATCCGCGGAACGGTATGCAAAAACGACGTACTCTCGTTACGGGAGAGAGAAACAAAGAGAGGAGGGCGCAGATTGATTTTTCACTTTCCGCCGCGGATCCTCAGCCGCGCGCGGTTGCGCGTCGCGCCGTTTCGTTTCGCGACGCAAACGCCGTGTGCACGCATCGCTGCGGGAACGCCGGCTGGGCTCGAGTTCGCTGACCGGCGGAGAGAATGCACGCGCGCGCGAACGAGCGAAAGAGAGAGAGAGACGGAGAGAGGGGAGAGAAGCGACGGAGAGTAGACCGTGACCGTGGCCGTGGCCGTGACCGTGGCCGAGTTGTCGCGATCGCAATAGACATCGCCGCCGGCAACGGCTACCCATGTCGCGAATATCCACATATGATTTTCAGACAGCGCGCCAGCGTCTCGGGAGGGGGAGGCGAGTCCGAGCGATCGAAATTTCCGTGGCTACCGTAATTTTTCCATTAATTCAATCGGCCGATTAGGTCAATTCCGCTTGCGATAAGTGCGACTGGTCAATACCAATGAAACACGGAAATCAAATCGGCTGATTAAATTAATCGGAAACAGTTAAACCGGCCCAAACATGTGCACAATATACTCGTATATGCCCGAACAATGCGCTTAAATACGAAGCGAGAGGCTCGGAATCGGAGGATTCCGCGCGGCTAGACTTTGGCGAGAACACGGAGACTGGGTACCTTACCATGGAAACGTGCGGAATTGTTCATTATTTTCCAGATTTCTATTGTGTTTTCTAGGGGAAACGGAATAATTCCGATCGGAATCCATTCCGAACATTTTTATGACAGGTGCCCCGGGTCTAGAGGCGATGTAACAAAAACAAAAAATTATTCAATCATGAAAGGATTAAAAAATATCAAGCTAAAGGAGAGCTTAATTCAGAGAGACAAAAGAATGGGCCGATTTTACAGGCGCGTGTCCTCGATTCTTCGGCAATTTCTCCACGCGCGTTAGTTTTACGCAGTTTTACGCGTTACTGCGAAATACAAGCGGCGTGGAACAAACGCCGGGTATAAATGTAATCCACGTAAAACGCGATGTCCGCACGACGTCGACAAACCCAATTTGTTCCAAGCATCGAAAGATATTTATAGGAGACCCGGGGACGTTGCGTCGAGTATCGATCGGCGTGACTGCTTCTAAAAATAAAACATCGTATTGTCGCACAAAGATCAATCTCTCGTTTCGAACAAATCCATATCGTGCAATTTTTCCAAAATTCTCTACGATTTGCGAGAGAAGAAAACATGCGCGAACGCCTTAATCTACATACACTTGAAGATAAAAAGCCGCGTGTAAAGCTACGAGCGTAACGTCGACTGAGAAACATACGCGAGGGGGAGTATTGACATAAGTTGTATATTTCGCTATACAGTCATTGCATTCGCCGCGTAGTACAATAACGGGTATATTGCGCCACATAATAACAAATGAATACACGTGGTATACAAAGCACGATGAAGTACACACAAATCCTAAGTTTAATTAAACCCAGACATCTCTAAGACGCGTACTCTCTTTCTCTCCTTTTTTCTTCGCTTACGAGGTACGAACGAATGCATAAAAAAAAAAGAAGAAAGCAGTGAAGAGAACCTTCTATCTGGCGATATACATAGACACTATCGCGAGGGCACAATCGGAACGCGACTACGTCACGCGTAAGTGGAAAAATATGACGACTTGAAATCTGAATGGATGAAAGGAAAAAGAAACGCGAGACGGCTCGATTTTATCTAGGCGTATATATCAATATACTTTGCGTCACTTTCTCCAATGAGGTAACTATTCTCGATCTACTTGTTTCTCTCGTGAAGCTCGTAACAAAGGTACAAAACGTCTATTCTAATATATTCTTCTTTTCACGTCGTCGCTCATTATTATACAAATGCATGGCAATGCCTAGCCTACACACGATCGACCGTTACGTGACTATCGAAAAACCGCCACGGACTCTAACACTGTATGGCCGTACGTTATGCACATTGTTTTTTGTCTTTACATGGATCAGCTGTCGATGTGACGTGCGCGTTTCTGGGGTGATTAGGGCTTTCTTCAACAATTCTAATTACTTTGCGATTAACACATTCGCTACGATATACTCTCCGCGAAGAAACATGGTTGTCGGAAACTTTCAACACGCAAGACGTAGGATTCGTATCATCCGATAATCTCCGTGATAACTGGAAGAGGTGCGTCGTGTGTTTCACGAGAAATCTAGTTAGAATCTATTTTGCTCTTGCGAGTAATTACCGTAATTAAAATATATATTACGATATACGTAGTTTGTGTAAAATCTACTTTCGCGAAGATTGCCCTTTCTTTTTACAGCTATTTCAATGTGGAAGTAATGAATAGAGGCGTTGCGACCTCTCTTACCAGTTTCCTTTTTTTTAAACAGTAAATAGAGCATATAATTTTATACACTGTAGAAAGTGTCAAATATGTGATAAACGTACAAAATATTGAGCAGAGTCTGATTGCTCTCCGAAAACCATGTTGTACAAATATCTAAATATTTTAGAGCACTTTTTACTTTTATTTTATATATATATAATATATATATATATAATGGATCAACGCCGCTGTAACGTTCACTGTAAATTTCACTCGCTACGCATCTAATATTCATTTGTCCGGGAATGCCGGTTTGTCACATCGCTTAAATCATTACTACTGGTGTCTGCTTGTACTAGTGATTAAAACGTGGTGTGTTGCATATATGCGTATGTGTGTACTTCGTAATTCTCGATATACTATTTCTATTAATCGAATATCTAATCAATTACGAAGAAAAACTTAATAAATACCGATTATATCCTCATTCTCCTTCATTACGTAAAATACGTATAAGTAATTAATTCTTATGGCAACGTGTGTTCGACCACAACGAAAGGATATTAAAAGTCATCCGTCCAACTCTTTGCGTTTTGGCATTTTACGTCCTTAATCATTACTCGCAAAGTATAGTAAGGCTAGGAATTGTAAATTATCGTCTTTACGACTTCTGTGTTTCAATGTGGAGCGGAGGGCGACCTTAGTCTTTCCAGTCCTTCTTGATTTCGAACGACCATTCCCACTTGAGGTGCTCGTGCTTGTCGTCGTCCGTGAAGAGTGAGCTCACGCTGTAGGAGCCTCGCGCGACCACGCCTGCTGGCGCGTCCTCAGCTGGAGTGGTGTACGACTGCAGCTCCGTTTTAGGTGGATACGAGCCTACCATATGCGTCATTTTGTCAACTGCAACGAAAGATCATAGATATTAAGTTCCGTCGTGCGCAACACGGTCAAATTATTGGATATTCCATTTACCAGTAACTCCTAATTTGCATTAGAAGCGTTAACATACAAGAAATCGAATTTATTACAACGGACTAGGAGTGGCATTGCGTTAGATACGGGAACAGCGAGATGTAAAGCATCGTACCAGGTACGCCGAGACGATAAGTCTTTTGAACGTATTTTAATCCATGCACGATCTCGCGTTGCACAATAAAGTCGATCCTGATTCTGTAGCTCACGCCTTCCTTGATGATAAACGTCTGTTTCTTCAGCTGCGTTAAATCGCCGGTCAAGTCCAGCTCCATGTCCGGCCGATCGGCGACGCATAGCGCTAATTTCTTCACTATTACCTTTCTAGGATCGCCGGAATCTACAAGAATCGTGTAATTAGTTAGAAAGTTGTCGTGTCACTCTTACTGGCAAAGAGAGTAAAGTAGCCTTTCTTTATATCTCAAGTGAAATGGTCGCACGATTATTTTTCACGTGTGACAAGTAAGAATGTTACTTTAAGCGACCCAAAATACGCGGACTTTCTGACCGATCTAATTAGTCAAATCAATCCACATAAAAGAGAAAACCAGACTTTCTTTAGTGTGTCACGAAAAATAAATCTTTGCGTGCGCAAAGATTTATACAGAATTCTTCAACGGACATTCACAATTTGCGCAAAAAATCTGCGACAACTGCGGAATCCGATCGCCGCGAGACTCGAAGAATTGCACGCGATGCACGACGACGAAAGGGTCAGGGTAGGCAAACTCGTAAACGACTTTTACATACAAACACCGGTTGCGCAGATACGGAGAGCGTACGGGCTTACAAGAAGCAATCACCCACCTACTACGATACCGCCGGACTTCGCTTCCCCGAGAAGTGTCTCCTTATACTTGCGCAGACTCTCGTCCTCCTTGTCCGTTTCCAGAATCTGCTCGATGGACCTCTCCGGCGGCGGCTTATAACTGGACTCCACGTCCGGGTCCTCCTCCAACGCATCTACATGATCACCCGTAGGGTCAGACATCGCTACGTTCAAACCAGGAAAGATATATATATAAAAAGACTTGCGAGAAAGAGAGAGAGAGAGAGACAGACAGAGCGGGGGAGAGGAAGAAAGGGTGAAAGGACGCGTGTTGTCGCGCGATATAGTCTGCTAGCGGAAACTACGGGGAATTTCGGCGGCGGCGGCGCGTTGCAACGGATCACGACGGATAGCGGGGCGGAAAAGCGCGCGCGTACCACGTATATCGGCGGAATATTTTTAGAAAGTTCCGAGGGAGCGGGAGAGAGAGAGAGAGAGAAAGAGATATAAGAAATCGATCGGGCGGCCACGTAATGACAGAAACCAGCGGGAGATCCTTCAATCTGCCGCCCGCACCTTCTGCACTTTCTGCACCTCCCGGAGACACCGGGTCTGCTTTTCTTTTTTACAGCTGAACTGGCTGTACTAGTTCAGGGTTTACCTCTCTTCTTCTAACGCGGAGGGAAAAGGATAGACTCCGAACTGGCGCGGCCAGTTCGGCTATAAAGAACAGACCCGCCGTCCCTACTTCTCGCCGTGTGAAACACGAGATTCGCCCTTCGTGGTTGCGCCAACGTTAAATCTGCCGCACTTGAAACGAAATGGGCATCGCGTGTCCGAGAGAGTGAAAAGGAAGAGTAAAAAAAACATAAGTTTGAGCTCGAAGAACAAAGGGCATTTGTACTAAAGTGCGGAAGGTGCAGATAAGGAAAGCGCATTCGCGCAGGGAAGCGGAGCAAAATGATTAGCCAAAGTTCCTTTCAGCTGCGCTCTCTCTCTCTCTCTCTCTCATCTTCCTCCTCGTGCTTCTTGCCCGATTCAAAACGAAAACTAATTGAATCGGAAGAGGCGAAGGAGAACGTGCAACACGCATTTTCGGCCTCGGACGCCCTTCCGCGGCAAGCAAGACACATCGTCGCGCAGCTACGGGAAACCGAGCCTCCGAAACCGGATTTATGGTCTCCGCGATTATACACGTCGGTATTTGACAGAGATTCCTGTACGGCGACCGCTCGAGCCTCGAGAACGCGACACGGCGCGGGCGACAGCCAACAGCTACGGCCCCGAGGGGACGGCAAGCCCACCGGGGCCGAAGAGGAGCGCGCTCTCCCGCAAGGAAACTCCGCTCGGAACGGAGGAGGACGCCGCGAGCGACGGCGGACCGTCTCGCCCGGGCACGCCCTAGGTGCCCGATATCCATACTCAGTACTTGCCATCCGTTCCCTCGTCTCCGTCTCGAATGACTTGACAGGCGGCACTCACGGCAGTCGCGACCGGCCCTCACGTACGCGGGAATCCGCACCAATCCGCGCCGGATTATCAGCCGATTGTTAATTCCCCCCCGCTCGTCTGCGCCCCGCCGCCGCGCGCCCCACGGAGCGGGAGGCAACATGGCGGCGGCGCGCGCGGAAGGGCGGGTACTTCCTGCGGCCGCGTCGAGCGCGAGTGGCGAAAGCCTCTCGCGGCTCTCGCGACTCCGCGTCTCCGCGTGTCCTCCAGCTGTCTACAGACCGTCGGGCATTCGCGGCTCGAAGTATCTTTCACGCGGAGACGCGTTCGCCGTGCAACGAAGCCATCTTTTTATCGAGAATCCCCGCGGTATCGATTCTCGGTGCGCTCGCCTCGCTGTAGATGTGGCGCCAAATTTTTAACTTGACCCCCTTTCCAAAGTTCACTTTCCTAGACTTACTTCAGCCGCGATAAAACGAAGACTGACGTAATAACTATTCTGTTTTTGGAATTATAGAATTTTCGACGAAAGAAGAGTTTGTTGATTGAAAATTGAGACGGGAAACTTATAGTCAACCCAACTGGCTAGTTACTTAATCAGTTTATTACACAACGTTCGAGCCCAGTGCTCACACGTATACATATATTTTCTAACTCGACTCTGTCTTATTCGACGACGATGACTGACTTAGTTCACTCGAAAAGGACCCAAGAGAATAGGGTCGAAACGTTGTGTAATAAACTAATTAAATATAGCCAGTTGAGTTGACTTTAAGTTTCCCGTCTCAATTATAGAATTTTGTACGAATTTTATGTGAATAAAAGCTCAGTTTCAATAGCACAACTCGTGTAAATTGAAAATAATCTCACCACAAAAAAAATCTACAGAAAGGGAAAGCTTAATTCGCGCGCGACTTACTGTACCAGAATGGAACTAATATCTCACGTTTAATATCGTTATATTTAAAGGGTTCGATGCTCTTAACTGAACACGTATAATGGAAAAATTCGTACCTAGAATCACCTAACTTAAATCTGTTAAAGCCTTGAGCCCACGATCCAAGAGCCGTGTCCAAGTTTTAGTTTAAATAAATGTGTAGTCAATCAACTTGTAACTTTTCCATAAAAGATGTAGGTTGATTGGCTACACATTTCTTGGAACTAGAACTTGGACACTTTCTTGGGTCGTGGACACAAGGCTTAAGACACACAATTCTATTCTATCGGATTGCAGAAGCGTCTCTGCTTGGGAAACGAATTCAATCTCGTCTGAACATATCCCGGCAATATTCCAAGAGCGCGTCCACTCCCGCTTTGTTCCTGAAATTCGACCGGCAGCCGTGCAGCTTTTGGTGCAGTAGCTCGGGATAGATCCTCGCGACACGCTTTAACGCATCTAGAAACAAAAAGCATTAAAACACTTGTACTAAAGCGCATCGAGAGTTGCTGTACATAGAATTCCAAACTATGGCTCGAATCATCGCCGAAAAGAGGAAGTGACGGAAAGAACGAGGCCGTTGACCGTTACCCAACATTATCTCTTGGAAGCGAGACTCCGGGTCGTCCAGATGAATAATCATCGTCGTGTACAGGGCATCGACGTGGCTCTTGCTGACGACAGTGTCGTAGTCTTCGGACACCGCGCTCCACACGTCCACGAGCGCTTCCACCGCGGCGTAGCGAACGTCGTCGCACCCGTCGTCGAGTCTTTTCAGTATCACCGGATACGTGCGATGGACATGCTGGTCGTTGAGACAGGACAGCCTCCGCCCGATCGTCATCAGTAGACAAATGGCGCGCATGGAGTACAGTCGAGTCTTCTTCGCCTTGTCGTCCACCAGACTGACCAGGACGGGCACGATCTTGTCGAAGATGGACGGGAACTGCTCCGCCGTGATAGGCGCCCCAGCTGTCTCGTTCTCCTCGCTCGCGGACGACTCCGCTCTCTTGGTCTCATCCCACTCGTCGGGATTAATTATCTTGTTCTGCAGAACAGCGCAGAGACAGCAAACGGCGGCCGTGCGAATGGCTTCGGCCGCCCTGCCGGCGGCCCAGATCAACCCAGGCACGATCAGTTCCCCGACAATCGTGTTCACGAATCTACGCGGGTCCTCGATGTGGCGATGTAAACTCTGATTGTTCAGAAAGTACTCCGAGAGCAGAATAAAGTGTCGCAGCTTCAGCTCGGGGTCGGCGTCCTTGCTCATGGTTTTCTCGAGGACAGGCAACACGAGGTCCATGTTACGCGACATGGCGACTCCGGCGCGGCTCAAACAAGCGCCAAAAATGTGCGACTCCGCGCTGTAAACCGTCCACGAGGCGCAGTCGTCGCGAATCGACGTTATCAGCGGTCTCACGTGGCTGCGGAAGAGATCCTCGATGTCCTTTAGCGAGTTTACGTCGACGAGTACGTCCAAGAGTCTGTCCGCTTCCTCGCGAACGGAGAACTCCGCGCTCATCGCGCACACGGTGAATATCACGTCGAACAAAGCTTGCGTAACCACCGTGCAATCCTGCGCATCACAATACGCTGTTAGATCTAAGAATGAAGCCAAAGGAGAACGACGTCTCGATTAGAGTAACCGAATGAACGTAACGGACGTGCGTATAATGAAAAAGGAATCGTGTTCGGACCTCTTTGCAAACTACGAGAAGGGAATTGCAGCAGGACAGTATCTGGCGCTGATAGTTGCTCTTTTTACTCTGACAGATATCCGGCTGCTGCAAGAAGTTGGCGATTTTGTCGAGCTGTTCCGACAGAGCCCCTCGTTCGCTACCGCTAATGATAGCCGCGAAGACACGCAGGTGGCCGGCTGTCGGGAATTCGTCCAGAGTGGGAAGCACCAGGCAGCAGAAAATCTTGGGTTGCACGAAGTAGCCGAGATATCGCGCCGCAGTTTCCACGCAACCGATGACCCTCTTATCCTCGTCATTGCATGCGCTGTAATTAAACGTTTTCATAAGCGACACATTTTTGTAACGAGAATCTTGATAAGAGCACAATGATCTTGACAAAAAAATAATCTGCCTCTGAATTCTATCTAATTTCAGGGAGCAATGAAAAGTACACGGAATTTTCTTCTTAAAATTTATCCTGAAAATCGTATAATTATGGGACAACACGGCACCTCGAAGAATTTTGTAAAGTTTTTAAAAATTTGAACATACATTTTGCTAGTAATTGTACTTAGTACACTAGTAATGTTACTAGTAAAATGTATGGTAAAATTTCAAAAAACTCTCATAAAGTTCTTCAAAATGTCATGTTGTCCTACAATCACGTGCTTTTCAGGATACATTTTAAGAGAAAATTCTCTTCGCGTAATTGTCTTACCGATACATAGGCGGCAAGAGCTTTTCGATGTGTTGCGTAACATCCTCCTCGACATTTAATATCAGCACACAGAGTAATTGCGCGGAGCGCACACGTATATCCGGCAACCAATCTCCGAGTTCGACGCTGATACCGTTGATAAGCTTGCATAAATTCTGCTGCGCGATCACGCGACATCCTAAATTCGGCCTAGAAACTAAAAATGATGATTTTACGTGGGTTGACTTTTGATGCGACACGCTAGACTGTAATTTGTTAAAAGTAACTCACCTTCCGGAGGATAATGCTCTGGGTCTTCCGTGAGAAAGTCCATCTTATCCTTCAGCTTCTCGTCGTTTTCGTTTTCCTGCAAATACAATTTTCCCGCAGCGTCCCACATATCTGCCGCTTTCGTACGAATCTCCGCGAGCTCGTCGTGCAATCCCGTCATGATCAGGGGAAGAAGTTTGCACCACCAGCCGTATCTGTCAGGCAGCTCCACCAACCAGCGGCCGGCGACCTTAATTACACCTTTAAAAAATTCAATACAATTGTATATTTTATCGGCTCGATGTAATTATATAAAATCATGTGAAAGAATTGAATAAAAATTTGTGAAACTGATAGCAAAATGTCTTCTAGTACATGAAACACACCTTCCCTGACAATTCCACTTTGATCGAAGAGCCTCTGCGCCAGAGGAGTTGCCACTTCTTCCATCGACTTGCTATTTCCATACTGAAGCACGTCGCCTATTGCCTCGACCGCGGCGAGCCGAACTCTGTAATGTTGGTGCGTAAAATTGCCCAGGATCGGCTTCACTAAATACTCCGATTGCGAATAGAAATGTCTCGACAGAGTCTTGGCGTAGTCCGATATGCATCTGCAACTCTCCTTCTTCACGTTCGGATAATTGTCCGTAACGGTGCGCGCCAATATCCCCGTCACATCCTGAATATACGGCGCCAACAAATCCTTATATCTCGAAATTATCAGTCGTAGAAGAGACACGCATTTCAGTCGCACTTCCTCCGACGGCTCGATCAGTTCCTGCATGCCCAATCGTCTGGACATTAGCGGTAAAACGTAGATTATGTGCTTGTCATCGGGCGGCAGAGACTCCAGAAATATTCTCAGTATCCCCACGGCTAGATCTCGGCACGTCTCCACGTTATCGTTCAGAATTCTAACTAGAAATCTGTGCACGCTTTCCCATATCTTAACCAGATCTTCCGGTCGCCTCGACATATCCTCCTGCGATATATTTTTCATTATATCCTCCAGCGCTTGTCTGCGACGATTCTTCTCGTCCGCTTGCAACGAAACGATAATTTTACTTAACTCGAGATCCATCGCCATGTTATCTGAAATGGATTTCTTTCTTAAAGAATCAAGATAATAAATATAAAAATACAAATCCGTTATATGAACTCTCGCGGAATACAAAGTAAAATATCGACCTAAACACTGTACGTGTCTCTATGACAACGCACTGGCATTCGGGTTGATAGATGATCTTGTTTTCTTACGTAATCTGTGGTCTCGTTTGACGAAACTGTCGCCACTTTAAACTCACATTTTCTGTAAATATCCGTTTCTTTTTACTTGGCAACTAGAATATTTACAGAAAAACCTTTATATCTTGAAATATATTTATTATGTCTTGATCTAAAATACATTTGTAATCAATACAATAAAATTAGCACTAGATCACTGGTAAGCACAGAATACACGTCTATAATGACACTTTACAGAGTTTCTAAAATTTTACAGTATCTATTATGCAACGACTACGATTTCGTATATGCTCGTAATTGGCTGTTTTACATTACTCTAATATGTACTATGCAGAGAAAAGGTGGCTACAAAGCAAATGTACATTAAGACGTTCGGCCGATTATTTTCACTGATGAACGCAAGGGACTAATTCACACGTTCACTGTTATTTCACAATTTGGGGAAATATAAAAATAGTGTAGAAAATTAAGAGACGGATATGTATTCTGGACATGGTCCCCGGCATTGAAATCTTGTTGACTTCCAATCGTCATTTATTGATGATCAAGCAGTTCATGTGCAACGTTGTCTAGTTCCTAATCTTCCAAAGTTACATTTTTAAACAGATACGACATCGACTCCTTATTGTGTATACGCCGAATTGCCTCCGCTAAAAGAATACTGATGTCGACAGTCTTGATTTTCGGGCATTGCATCTTCTGCACATCGTGAGGAACAGTATTGGTTACAACGACCTGCAAGAAATTTCGCAGAAACGTTTTTTTTCTTTTCTTCACGTCGGTCCAAAAACCAATGTTGCCCCGCGCTATGTTACCTCGTCAATCGGAGATTCCTCGATGAGCCTAGGCGCGTCCGAGCTGAGCAAACCGTGCGTAGCTAAGACATATATTTTATTAGCTCCTCTCTCCTTAAGTACCTCGGCAGCTGCTACGTACGACTGTACATCGTCTATCATGTCGTCCTGAAACATTTGTTTCTCCCGTCAAATCGTGGATCACAATCGTCGTGCCGAAGCGTACACGAATGCATTTCGCTCACCACCATAATAGCGATGCGTCCTCCGACATCTCCGACGACGCTTATTGGCGGCTTTTCCTTCGCTGGATGCAAAGGCATACCCACGCCAACGTCCATCGTACGCGCGGCCAACGCTAGCGCGGGTGGCGAATAGCGGCCGTCGTTCATGTCGGATTCAGCTTCTCTCTGCTCTCCGTGAATCACTGCGATTCCCAGGCGCAGCCTTTCGGCGTAGCTAGTCGCTTTCTTTGCACTACCTGGATTTCTTGCAACGATCACAGAATTATGATAGTCAGGAATCTGACAAAGAGAAGATACAATTTATATAAAAAAAAGTGATAAAACAAAACACACACATACATACACACGCGCACACACACACACACACGCGCACACACAAACACGTGGAGTTAAATATCGTAAAATAAAGGAAATTATCGGGAAAGAAAAACGTCATATTTATATTTGCGTTTCAAGATCTCGCGGCTTTGCTTAAAACGGACTGCTATCCACTAATAATTTACAATGGTAGAATAAGAATCTTGTTACATACGGATTCTTGAATGTACTGCAGAAGGAACGGGCTAGCCCTGAGATTGTCCACGGGCACGTCAAAGAACCCCTGGATTTCCTTCTGATGGAGGTCCATGGTGATGATGTGAGTTAGGCCGCTCGTGCACAGCATCTTCGCCAGGAGCTTGGACACGATGCAGCCGCGCTTGCGCATCTTGCACTGTTTGGAATAAGGTAGATACGGGATCACTCCGACGATGTTCTTGGCCGACGACGTCTTACACGCGTAGGCCATGATGAGTAGCTCCATTATGTTATTGTTTACGTCCTTCGTACCGGTTTGAATCAGATACAGGTCCTTGCCGCGTACGGAATCTCCTATCTCCACCATTGTCTCGCGATTCGACTTGTGATACACAGCGCAGCCGCCAGGCTTAACTCCCAGGCGACTTTCAACATAAAGAAAACATTCTAACACCCTTCGCTTTCTACGTTAAAGGGATTTAAGTGCATTAATCAGTCAACACTTTAGTCATAATAAGCAAGCCCATGTACTGCAGCCTATATTATCTGTAACTTTGCACGTACGTTAGAATAATATTAATATTTCACTTGAATAATGAAACAACGATTTGATATTTCAATTTTTAGCACTGTATGCATTATGCGTGCAGAGGAGAGTCCTCTATTGCGAGACAGCAGGTTTATCGACATCAAAATTTAATCACAAATCTTTCACAGCGATTGCACGATCGAACAATGAATTTTCCGCTAAACGGATTTCACTCCAAGGGCAATAAATTAACGACGAGGCCAACATATGGTGCCTGTTAATTTAGCAAAAATCCTGCCATATCATATTAGAAGCTTATCTCGTAATAGGGGACTTTCCTCTATTAAATATAAAGTAGCAATAATGCGACTATTATAATAATATAAATTTGCGTGTCTTGAATCAAGCCAATTTTCCAAACCGTTTGGAAATTATCGGATCTTATTCTCCCCGCGTTGCAACGTCTTGCGTCCGTTTCTGCCAACGCGGATTAACTTTAATCTCGGTTCAAATTACTGTTTACGCTTCTCTAATTTCTCAAAGAACTGAAAAAGCGACCCGAAGTGAGTTAAACCGTGATCGAAGGTGATCCGCATTGGTGGCAAACGGTGGTTTCTTTCTTGAATCGTACGCTCTCAGTAACGTCGGGCCCCACGATAAACACGAGTGATGGTGCAAAACAATCGCGATGACGCGTCGTAATATCGACTGTCGGCTCCCGCGCGTTTCACCGCTCGCCACTCACTTTGCAATCAGGTTGGCGAGCTCCGGGTGAGAATTGCCCGCGATGATGACTATGTCCGACGAGACTGGCTTCTCCATCGCTGCTGACGAGAGTCCAGCTGCTGCGTAACAACGCCGAGGCAGAGTCCCTCGGGAGATTCGCCTGGAAGGAAGCTCGCTTTACAAACTCGCGTCCGCCGCCGCCTCCCGCGATCCCCGCGCCCGCACCTCGAGCAGACGAAAACTGCGCGTCTCGCGGAAGGCGAAAGAGAGAGAGAGAGAGAGAGAGAGGGGGAGACTCGCGACGTGACAATGATTTTCAATTCTTTCGCCGACACGTGGACTCTCGCTGCGTATCTGCGGCGAAAGATCGGGATTAAGTAGTCCCGGGCGCGACGTGGAAACGAAGCGCGAAGGAGCGCGTTATGCGAGAAAAGAAGTGTAACGTACCTCGCGATAAACAAACAATCGATCAAACTTGGGTCTCCTCACGCGCTTCCGTGCGACGCGATTACGTCGCGGCCGTAAACTCGATTAACCCACACCCGCATCCGTCCGCTCCTCTCTACGTCTCGCGCGCGCCTCACCGTCGCCGTTCGATCGCCCGACAATCGCCGGCTGTTCGATCGCGACGGGTGATTCGGAAGGAAAACACTCGGCTCCCCCTCGATTGTTGCTGCCACTTCGCCGCCGACAGGTCGCCGTTGAAGCGCGTGCCCTCGTTCGGGTACACTCGGCGTCATCGATACCCTCGCGCGCGCGAGCGGTCGGAAGTTGGCCACTTCCGAGCTCAGGGACGTTCAGGGCTGTGCTCCACTCGATGCCGCCAATGATTCGAAACGTTCCACCTCGCCTGCCTCTCTTTGCTAAAAGGCCTCGAAGCATTTGTGGCGTCACGTGGAGCGCAGCCCACGCTCGTTTCTCGAACTTTTCAGCCCCACGACCCTCCCGCGTTTTAAAAAAAAAAGTAAAATTAAAATACCTTGCAACCCTCCCCTGTAAGAAGTCAACAAACAGCGGGGCTGTCTCGCTCGGTCAAAGAAAGATTCGTGCAAGAGAAATTTTATAAACCGACCCTTTGAGAAACGCTGATCTAGGATTCTTATTTATAGGCGCGACGCGCGATTAACTCGCGACTGTCGTTCGAAAGATCATCCAGCGATCAATGAATTCAACATTGCACGCTAGGTGATGCCTTCCCATAGGAATTTCGGCACAGCTGGAACGCGTACACGTTTCCCGTGTACGTACACCGGGAATCGCTGACGCCTTTCCGCATAAATTTGTGCGCATATCATCGCATTCATACATTTTGCATATCCATACGTGGAAAACGTGTGGCTCTACACAAGGACGTAAGGTTTGTTTTCCGTTCCTGCACTGGTGAACTAAGTGCAGTGAGCTAGACTGAAAAAAATATAAACCCGTACGTCTGCCGTGTTGAGAACATGTGTAAATTTTAGAACGAGATAGCTGACGGTTGAGTGTCGGTCGCCTCGTCTTTGTCTAGTAAAGTAAAGGGGCAGCAGAAGAGCAAGGAGAACGATAGAGGGCGACAGAGAGAGGGCTACCACTCAAGACTCAAAGTATGTTGCCTCTTTCTAAAGTTTGTACATTCCTTCAGCCAAATGCGCGGTCTATATATTGTATGTACGTTTATGGTTCCACATGCGTCCAAATTCAAGGCTTGTTTTTCTGTTGCTACGTTGGTGAACTCATAGACATAATATATCTAGACCGAGCATTGAACAATGGGGGGTATTTTGTGTTATTTCGTTCTCTCTCGTTCGCATGTGAACAAGAGAGAACGAAATAGCGCAAAACAGAGCTTATCCTTTTCTACGCGAACCTCTACACTCCACTGCTCAAATAAAGGCAAACGCTCGGTCTAAACGTATTACGTCTATGGGTGAACCAGTGCAATAAATTAGAGTAATAGGTTTGTTTACTGTTCCTGCACTGGCGAACTAGCGCGGTAAGCTAGAATGAGAAAAAGTGTGCTTGTCTTGCTCTAATTTACTGCACTAGTTCACCAGTGCAGGAACAGAAAACAAACCCAAAGTCTCCACTTTGTGCGTGTTCGTGCTACGCCTATTTTTCAGCATTGAGCTGTGAATTTCAAAAATTACATTAACATAAATTATCTGCATGATGTTTACATCCATTTTGTTCACGTAGTCGATGCAAATTTTACAAATTTGACGTCGCATAGCACAGACATGCGTCAGTGGAAATTTTATCGGCAGAGTTAGAAAACGCGCAATGAAATAGTTCCGAAGGTAAAAATGGGCGTAAAGCCCGTATCAGACTACGGATTGGGATTGGGATTAGATTGAAATTTGACCAATCAGAGTAAAAGTTACGAACTTGAGATTAGTAAACTTTACTGTGATTGGTT